TACTTGACCCTACAGATCTCCTTTATTCTTCTCTCCTGTTACAGACTAGCTTCTGCTTTTCTGTGCATACGATGAAGCACTGCTACAAAGAGTTTCTGAGTTTGAAATTTTAGAGTCCAGGTGTTCAGAGGAGACTGCCTTGACTCAAGCCCCAATACCCAAAAAACCAGAAAACCAAACCCACTGCTGTTGAATTGATTCTGACTTATAGCAACCCTATGGGACAGAGTAGAAATACCTCATAGGGTTTCCAAGGCTGTGAAGGTTGGGCAATCTACTTCCATAGTGATACTGCCTTGGAAACTCAAGGAGGGGTCGCTATGAGTCGGGTCTGACTCGATGGCACATAATAACAACAACAACAAATCTTTACAGAAACAAACTACTACATCTTTTATCCTGTGGATCAGCTGGTGGGTTCAAATCAATGAACTTTCATTTAGCAGCTGAGCATTTTAACCATTTTACCACTGCAAAGAAACATCTACTGCCACTGAGTCGATTCTGAAACCCATTGGGTTTCCAAGGAGGTAAATCTTTACAGAAGTAGATTGTCTTATCTTCCTTCTGCGGAGCAGCTGGTGGGTTTGAACTGCCAATCTCTGGTTAGCAGTCAAATGCGTTAGGCACTGAGCGGCCAGAGCTCCTTATTACACCACCAAATTACTGCCGTCAAGTCAGTCCCGCTCCATTAATACCTGAAAAAGGACTTTAACTAGATTATCTGCTGCCAAAGTTTCATCCCTAGATAAGTAAAATGTGTTGTGGGTGGAATGATGTTTTATTTTATTGTATTTCTGGAGTAATCATTTGCATGGAGTGTGGTAGGAAGGGACTGTTGCTAGAGAGATGAAAGAGTAGACACTCGTTATTACTCTTTACATGTCTATGTATACAGATGGATAGTTTACCAACCCTTTCCCAGGGTTACTTCATGTGAGCCTCATGATCTTGTTGTTGTTGCTGTTATTTGCCGTTGAGTCGGACTCGACTCATGGCGACCCCTCCCTGGATTTCCGAGGAGGTATCACTATGGAAGTAGATTGCCCAACCTTCCTTCCGAGGAGTGGCTGGTGGGTTTGAACCTCCAGTCTTCTAGTTCACAGTCAAGTGCCTTAGGCACTATGCTAGCAGAGCTCCTGAGCCTCATGATAATCAGGTGATATAGGTAAGACAGGTATTATTGATACACAATTTACACAGAAAGACATTGATTGTTCTTAGAAATAAAACAACTTGTACAAGATTAACAGATAAGTAGTAAATTCTCTTTGCAGTATCCAGCAAAAACCCATCTTTCAAAATGTTGCTGAAATCCCACTATCTCCTCAAAGTTGATGACTAGAAGAGCAACACTCTCTTAGTTTGGCTTCTCTAGGAAAGAAAAGAAAAGAAAAGAAATTCTACCGAAGTGCAGTTTCAGGAAGGCAGTAATGAGGGAAAGGAGAGTGAGACATAGAAAAGACGACCTAATATGGGAGTGGGTTGTTGAGCCAAAGCTTTGAAAAACAAGCTGATTGTTTACCATCGCAGGTTATTTTAAGAGAGGTTCTATGAAGCTACTGCATGTGTCTGAAAGGAAAAGAAATAAGAATTTATCTACTGGCTTCAATTGCCTATGATCTGAGCTTAGCCTCTCAGGCATTGACTCACCAACACTTCCTGTTGCACATGTCTGGGGACACAGTAGGACCCACTGCACAGTAGAAAAGTCCTGAGGTAGGAGGCAAGATACTACCAGGTCATATAGGAGAGTAATATGAAGGCCTAGGGACAGGCATGGAGGGACTGTGACTGACCCAGGAGGCCAGATTTTTTACCATGATATGACTTCTGCCACAAAGGTGGCAAGAGATCTTAACAAATCTTCCCCCTATGGCTGACAAAACTGCAACAGGTACAAGGCATCTTCCTGGAGGATCATTAGTAATACCAAGCAGCTGGCCATATTGCTTGGAGTGGTGGGTAATGACACCTACTCCTTGTTAAAGACTGAACCACACCTGGCCTGTGGAGACTTTCCCACTCTTTTCCTTCTCCCATCCAGAACAATCAGTCCTTTCTTTATGCCCACAGTATTCTTGGCATCAGAGTCCAACATGGATACATAAACATTTAAAACAGTTGTTTATTCAGTATTTTTCCTCCCCTAGAGAAGATTTTTTGAGGTTGTGGTAATTAATGTCAATTCATTAATTCAATAATTTATTGAGTATATACTATATGCCAGGCACACTACCTTGGGCTAAAAAAGAAAAACAAAACAAAACAAAAAAACTCCACTGCCATCCAGTCAATTCCTACTCAGAGTGGCCCCCATATGGTTTCCAAAAGTGTGTAAATCTTTATGGAGGAGCTCTGGTAGCGTAGTGCACTTGACTGCTAACCAGAAGGCTGGCAGTTCAAACCTACCAGCCACTCCTCAGAAGGAAGGTTGGAAATCTACTTCCATAGTGATATCGTCTCAGAAACCCAAGGAGGGGTTGCTATGAGTCAGGTCCAACTCGAGGGCGCATAACGACGACAACAAATCTTTATGGAAGCAGACTGCCTCATCTCTCTCCCACAGAACAGCTGATGGGTTTGAACTGCTAACATTTTGATTGGCAGCCCAATGCCTTAACCACAGTGCCACCAGAGCTCCTCAGATAATGATAAATGCTTTACAGGAAAGCAAAGCAGGGAAGTTGGATAGGAAGAGCTGGAAGGGAGGATGTGAGAGTTGTAGGTGTAAGTAAGTTGCCCAGGAAAGCCTTCACTGAGTGAATGACATTGAGCAAAGTGCAAACATAGATATATGGGTGAAAAGAGTTCAAGGGATAGAGAAAAGTGAGTTCAAAGGCCCTGGTATATTCCAGGGAATAGGAGCCCAGTGTGACTGACACAGAGTGAATGAGAGTAAGGGGAGAGAGGAGAGAATAGATGAGGTCAGAGATGAAGCCAAATAACTTAATGACCTTATAGAACATTGCAATGACTTTGACTTCCACTTGGAAGAAGCAAGACTTGAGCACAGAAGAGATCTGACCTACATTCGATAGGCTCACCCTCGCTGAACATTGACTGCATAGGGATAAAGGTTGAAAGAGGGCATTAGGAGGTGAGTGGAGGAACTCAGGTGAGAAATCTTAGTTGTTTAGACTAAGATGATAGCAGAAGAGATGGTGAGTGATGATTAGATTCTAGTTTACAATGGGGTTGTCAGGATACTCAATGGATTAGGAAGGAAGTATGAGGAAAACAGAGAAGGAAAAAATGACTCCATGTTTTTTATTTGAGCCAAGACTACAGGAGGAATATATTTTGGGAGTAGAGGGAAGATTAGTAGTTTGGACATGAGATGATTTTTAGACATCCAGGTGGGGTTTTTGATGTGACAGAGAACTCAGTAGTCTGAAGATCAGGGAAAGTCCATGGTTAGCAATATGAATTTGGGAGCTAATCAGTATGACATAGACACTGTACATGTGGTATATAAAGCTATCAGTCTGGATGAGATCACTAAGTGAATGAAGAGAGCAGATAGGTGAAAATGTCAAAAGACTGACTCCTAGGCCACTTCAACTTTTAGAGGTTAGGAAGGTGAGGAATAATCAGAATGGAGACTGGGTGGAGTAGCCACGAAGTAGGAGGAAAAGAAGAGTGTGGTTTCTGGAAGCCAAGACAAGGAAGTGTTTCAAGCAGCAGAGCCAGGGCAACTGGACTAAACACTACTGATAGAGGTCTTGAAACTGGCCTTTGGATTTAGCAGCATGGCGATCACTGGTGACCTTGATCAGTTTCAGTATAGTGGAGTTGGCAAATGCCCAAATGGAAGTTCAAAAGAAAATGGTGTGTGTGTGCGTGTGCATGCATGTAGGAATTGGAAGCACCAAGTATGGACAATTCTTCAGAGTTGTGCATTAAAGGAAAGGAGTGGAAAGAGGGAGGCTGGGTGGTGGGGAGGATAAAGAAAGTGTGTGTGTGTTAATAGTCTATATGCCTATTAGAAAAGTGCACTACATCTTACTGGCAGAACCAGGCAGAAAATAATTTGTGAGGAGAATGAACAAAATATCCCCTGGAGCCTGGGCTGCATGGGCCACTGAACTGATCACACTTGGTTCCTGCATCAATTGTGGGCATGAAGGTGCCTGGGTTAGGTTTCAGATTCAAAAGACAGATGTAATGAGCCAATTAAATAGCATGGTGGAGACTCTCTCATGCTCTGGGAAGCCAAAAATATGGTCTGGAGGCATTTTCTAAGAGGCTAGTTTAGAGGGCCCGTTTTACAGGCTTCAGTTGCTATCATCATCAACTTCACCATGATCACTGTCAAATAGCAATTAGGAGTGATCTTATTTCATGTAGCACCTCATAAAACAAGGCCTTATTTCCTGGGGGTACTGGTTGTGGTGACAAGCAGTACTATAGTAAGGCCGGAAGGTGTGAGATGGGGAAAAGAGACGAGTGTAGGCAGAGGCCCACAGCTCTTGCCAAACCATCATGCCCAGTTCCTTATTTTCACTCTGTTCCTCCAATACCCTGGAGTGGATGACCTTTTCCCTCCTATTTCTTCTCCCTTTGCTCTTCGCGCCCCCTACTTCTCCTTTTGCTTCCCTCTCAGTGCTGAGGCGGTTCCTTTGCTCAAGCCCTGGCCTCTACCTGTCTCCCCAACGCCTCCGGTTGCATGAGGAGCGGGCTGAGACCCTGAAACTCCAGTGGGGCAGGCGCTGACTTTCTGAGCATGTGCGAACAAGGAAGGGGACTAGGGAGGATTTGGGGGGCTAGGCCCAGGTCAGTCTTCAGCACATAGCTATTGCGCGGAGCGCGCAGGAGCTGGAAACACACCCCAGAGCAGAGCTCCTGCGCCCGGGACGCAGCGGCTGCGCCCTACCCTCCGGGCGTAGGCGAGCTGGCCGCGTGTGCTTCGCTGCTTGACGCGAGGTGGAGCCAATCAGGGCGAGCGTCCCGGGCTGCCATGTGACGGGCGAGGCGGCCCCTTTTCTCAGCGTGGCCAGAGGGAGGAGAGAACCGGGGCTCGCAACGAGCCTTCAAGAACAGCGGCTGCGGAGAAGGCGGCAGCAGCGGCGGCGGACCGGAGCGGCGGCGGCAACGCAGCCTTGGGGCCAGCCAGGCGCGCATCCCCGGGCACCCAGCGCAGCGGAGAGCTCGGCAGGCCACGAGAGCCACAGGATAGGAGTGGACAAAGCAAGATGGCAGGGATATTAGCTTGGTTCTGGAACGAGAGGTTTTGGCTCCCGCACAATGTCACCTGGGCAGACCTGAAAAACACGGAGGAAGCCACCTTCCCGCAGGCTGAGGACCTCTACCTCGCCTTCCCCTTGGCCTTCTGCATCTTCATGGTGCGGCTCATCTTCGAGAGGTAAGAATTGGAGCGCCTATTCCCCTCCCCCTACACACACACACACACACACACTCGCACACAAAAACGCACACACACTTGCGCGCACACGAACAGTCGCGTGCTCCCTGGCGCACGCACCCGCGCCCCCAGTGCACACCCAGCTAGTGGCCCCTTCACTCTCGCTCACACCTCCCAACCTTTGTGTTGGGAAAGGTGTTGCTGACCCCCCAGTCCCATTTGCTTTCTGGGGGCCACAAATGGTCTGGCTACCCCACCAATTTCCTCAGGAGCGTCAGAGAAGGGCTGCAAATCGATGGGGATCGCCCCTGGCACTGCCCCTTGGGTTGTTCTCCTCCTCGCTGGCGGCCAGGGAAGGCGAACAAAGGTGCGCGACGGCCGGCCCCGGGACGCGCGGCACTCTGCGGGGCTCGCGCCTCTTGCCCCGCGTTGCACATCGCGCTGCCAGGCCGGGCTCCCAGCGGAGGCTTGCCGCCACCCACCTGACAGCCAGGAACATTCCGGACGCGCGGCCAGGAGGGAGGAGGAATCGCTCACACTTCCAGTCCTTTTACTTCGACGGAGGCTGTTAGGGACTCTTCTTCCAGAGAATTCACCAAGGACTTCCTGGCTTCTGATCGTGATTTGGTCTCTCTCAGTGACAGGGAGTATGAGGTCCATATACCTGGGAAATAGGTGCAGTAGTTTGCAGGTTTCCAGCGCTCCAGGCCATTAGCGGTTCGTTTAAAGGAGTGTCTCTACATGTGTGCTCAGCCTGCAAAATGGAGATACTGAATTCGTAAATGTTTCCTATGAATAATCATAAACTTTTTTTTTTTTGGCTACCAGAAGACACTTTTTCTTTTTTAAAGAATTGTCCTATAATTGTATAATTCCTCAGAACTTTTATTTTTTGGTATCTCCATCGTGTCAGGCCCAAACTTGTGTTACTCTCATTGAATCAGTATCAGCCACGATGTTTTGCCCCAGCCATGCATCCTCGAGTGGGTGATATTGACACAAAACGGGGACAGGCAAACACACGTCTCTTTCAGCTGAAAACCTTGTCTCTCCTCCTTCTTCCAATTCCTCAGTAAAGGCTGAATTTCTTAGATCTTGAAGTAGCATTTAGATTCCATTTTTCACTTCCAAGTTACCTCCCTTGCCCCGCCCCCTTCTCACCTTGGTTTGATTTCTTAAGCTTTTGCTCTGTTATTTTGTTTGCTATTTCTGTTTGTCTACAATGACTGTTGAGGATAGCAGAATATGTCTTTTGTGTTATTTTATTTATTTATTTATTTTGCTGGAAATGGCAACAGATCAAAGCTTCATGGGAACAAAAAGTATTTTTTGTTTAAGGAAGGTGTGTTTTTCAATGAGCAGTGTTGTTGCTTCAGAACTAAGTCAGCTGTTCACATGCAGAAATTGACATGCACAAAAGAACAGACTTGAATTCCTTCTATTTTAAAATTATTGTGATTCACCACAGATATGTCATTGATCTCATTCAGTGCTGAGATGTGCTGTAAAAAAGTGGGTGTGTGTACAGATTTAGAGCTGCTTCCGGAGCAGATGTTTACTTACAGCAAATATGAACTTACAACTAACCTTACAGTCTTTCCAAAGACAAGCACACTGTCATAGATCACACATAGTAGGGCTTCACACACACTTGCTGAATGACACTTGATAAATTTTGGCCAGACTCACTTTTAGATAGCAAATGCATTTGAAAAAGATGTGAAATTTTATGTTTTGGAGAACAAAACTATGTCAGCAAGTGACCTGTATTGGAAAGCTGCATATTGCTGATACTCGATTCCTGGCTGTTTATTAGGTTGGAAACAAAGTAAATTTACTATAGAATGGAGCTAGCTTGGTTCTCAGATTCTCTGCCTTTTTTCTTTTAAAAACATTTGTCATCCTTGAAAAGGAAAAGTTCATTTTTTTCTTTTTATTCATTTACATAGTCCCATGATTTGATTTACAGTTTATGCGAAAGGGTAAGTTTTTCTCAACTGTCAGCCACAGCAAATGTTCTCACACTGATAAGTAGAGAGTTGGTCAGTTTCCTTCTGGCTCTTGATCCAGGTAGAAGCTTTTTAATGGAAGGCATAGAAAATAAAGGTTATGATTAATGTCTGGAATAATAATCCAGTATGGCCTGTAAACCAGAGGATACTACTGACTTTTGGAAGAGCGTTTACTTTGTTTCTTCCTACTGCTGTGACAGCTCTGTCTTGAACCATCAACTATCTTGAGTCTCTGAAAATTCAAGGGCATAGATGGATCTAGGGGAATAGTGTTGGTTCAGTGATAGGAATCTTACTTTCCATGGGTGATACCTGGGTTCAATTTCTGGCCAATGTACTTCATGTACAGCCACCATTCCTCTATCATTTGTGGCTTATGTGTAGCTATGATGCTGAATATGTTTCAGTAGAGATTCGAAACTAAAATAACCTAGGAAGAAACGGTTGGTGATTTACTTTTGAAAATCAGTTGGTGAAATTGTCCTATCAGCAGTTAATCATGCGAATGGTGCATCACCAGGCAGGGTTTCATTCTGTTGTGAATGGGGTCACCATGTGTTGGCAACTGAATTGACAGAAGCTAACAACAACAAGTGGATCCAGAGTTAGAATTTCAGTATGTTTATTCTATTCTCAAACCTAAATTACATATTCTGGGATCTAGCCTGTGGCCTACATCTGGTAGCATCCATCAAGGGCCTGAACCAGTATGACTGTACCAGGTGATATTGTTATTACAGGTAGTGACTCACTTTCAGTGAGTTGTGCATACATTTTTTTTTTTTTGCCATATTCTATAATGTATAACCATTTATGAATTACCGTCAACAAATATTCTCCTTGTGTGATATTAATGATATTGTTCAATAATTTCTGCATTCTGTTGGATCACCTTTCTCTTCTAGACCAGATGGTTGGCCAGGTAGCTGTCTTCCAAATTTCTTGGCCTAGATGAGTGAAGGCTTCCAGCAGTGCATCAGTTTGTTGAAACATCTCAACTGGGACTCCATCAATTCTGGAGTCTTGTTTTGCTCCAATGACTTCAGTGCAGCTTCGACTTCTTCCTTCAATATCATTTATTCTTGATCATATGCTACCTCCTGAAATGACTGAACATCAACCAATTTTTTTGGTACAGTGACTCTATGTATTCCTTCCATCTTTTTATGCTTCCTACGTTGTTCAATATTTTGCCCATAGACTCCTTCAGTATTGCAACTAGAGGCTTGAATTGTTTCTTCAGTTCTTTCAGCTTAAGAAATGCAGAGTGTATTTTTTCCCTTTTGATTTTCTAACTCCAAATCTTTGTACATTTCATTATTCATACTTTACTTTGTCTTCTCAAGCAGTCTTTGGAAATCTTCAGTTTATTTCTTTTATTTCATCATTTCTTTTGCTCACTTTAGTTACTTTACATTCAAGAACACGTTTAAGAGTCACTTCTGACATACATTTTGGTCTTTTCTTTCTTTTTAATGACCTTTTGCTTTCTTCACGTATGATGTCCTTGGTGTCATCCCAGAACTCAGCTGGTCTTCAGTCATTAGTGTCAATGTGTCAAATTCATTCTTGAGATGGTCTCTAAATTCAGGTGGGTTATACTCAAGACTGTACTGAATTTGTTTTAATTTTCATCAGCTTCAACTTGAATTTGCATGTGAGCAGTTGATGGTCTCTGTTCTGCAGTGAGCCCCTGGCCCTGCCTGATGAAATTGAGCTTCTCCATCATCTCTTTCCACACACATAGTCAGTTGGATTGGCAAGGTCCACAAATATGGTTGCCCTTTATATTGTTGAACAAAGGCATTTGCTGTGGCCGTCGGTCTTGCAAAATTGTATCATGTGATCTTCATCATTGTTTCTCTCACCAAGGCCGTATTTTCCAAATCATGATCCTTCTACTTTGTTCCAGTTTTCTCATTTCAATCATGGGTAATTACCAGTGCATCTTGATTGCATGTTTGGTCAATTTCAGACTGTAGAAGTTGGTAAAATCTTCAATTGCATTGGGCAAATCTTCTGCAGAAGATCTCTTTAAAATGTTAAGAAGCAAAGATATCACTTTGAGGACTAAAAGCCGTGGTATTTTCATTTGCGACATATGTATATGAAAGCTAGACAGTGAATAAGGAAGACTGAAGAAGAACTGATGTCTTTGAGTTATGATGTTGATGGAGAATATTGAATATGCCATGGACTGCCAGAAGAATGAACAAATCTGTCTTGGAAGAAGAAGTACAGCTGGAATGTTTCTTATAAGGGAGGATGGGGAGACTTTGTCTCATATACTTTTGTCATGTTATCAGAAAGGACCAATCCCTGCACAAAAACAACATACTTGGTAGAGGGTCAGTAAAAAAGAGGAAGACCCTCAACAAGATAGATGGACACAGTGGCTGCAAAAATGGTCTCAAACATAGCACTGTTTGTGAGGATGGCACAGATTGGGTGGTGTTTCATTCTGTTGTTCATGGGGTCTCTATGAGTTGAAACTGACTCAATAGCATCTAACAACAACAACTTAATGTATAACACAATTTAAAGAAGCCTTTTATGAATCTTTCTGTAAAATGAAATTATTTATACTTCAGCTATTTCTTTCAAAGCAGCAAATGTATTTATGAAATACATGATTATAAACGTCTTTATTATTTCTATTAAATGTGGTCAGTAATTAAGTTGTTGAGGCTAAAATTATGAATTTCAGTGTGTACATGTCAGTCTAATGTATTTCTCACTATAAAGAGAAACAAAGAATTGATTGAATTGGGTTGTAGCCAATTGAGGAGCCCTATCATTTTTGTTTTTGCCCCTGCAGATGTTGAGAGTGGAGGCACTGTAGAAAGAACACGCCATGGTATAGCACCATGTGGACAGCAATATGGGAGCCTAGCATGGCTGATTAAAAATGGAGCAGCCTAAAGTCAATGGCTTTTAGTTGAGTCTGTGAAAACTCCATGGCTTGATGGTTCTTAGCTTTTATACTTA